TAGATTTCATAACAAAATTCAGCAATGCAGCAAAATATAAAATTAACACTCAAAACATCAAGAACATTCTTGCATAACAACAGTGAACTTAGTGAGAAAGAAATTAGGAAGCCAGTACTATTTTTAGTAGCATCAGAAAAAAGTTACTCAGGAATTTACCTAACCAATGAAAGAAATTAAAGACATCTACAATGAAAACTGTACAACTCTAAACAGAAAATCGAGGAAGGCATCAGAAAATAGAAAAATATCCCCTGTTCCTGGATAGGAAAAACCAATATTGTCAAAATGGCCATATTTCCAAAACCAATATACAGATTTAATGCAAATCTGATCAAAATGCCAATAGCATTCCTCACCGACCAAGAGAAAGTAATTCTAAAATTCATCTGGAGCAGAAAGAGGTCTAGAAGAGCAAAGCAACCCTGGGTACAAGGGCACAAGGGCACCTCAATCCCTGACTTCAGGTTATACTCAAAGCTACAGTGATAAATGCCGCTTGATACTGGCACAAAAACAGACATGTGGATGAGTGTAACAGAACAGAGGATGCAGAAACAGCCCAGATACCTTCAGCCATCTGATCTTTGACAAAAGGACTATAAACATATGCTGGAGGAAACAGCCTCTATAGCAAATGGTGCTGAGAAAACTGGTTATCCACATGCAGCAAGTTGAAATCACAGCCCTATCTCTCATCGTGTACTAAATTAAAATAAAAATGGATCAAAGATCTAACTATTGAAATAGAAAAAAGGAACCTGCAGGAAAATAAAATAGATAAAATTCTCAAGCCATGAGCATAGGCAATCACTTTCTGAGCAGAGCTCCAATTGCACAAGAAACAAGAGTAAATAAATGGGATTATATCAGATTAAAGAGCTCTGTTCAACAAAGGAAACAAAAAAATGAAGTGCAGAGACAACCTACAGAATGGAAAATAAGTCTTGATAGCTGTTCCTCTACAGAGGACTAATATCTTATACATAAGGAATTCAGAAAAAAGACACCGTAATAAAATACCCAATCAAAACATGAGCAAATGAAATGAATAGACATTTCCAACAAGAAACAAAAGTGTCAATAAGTACATGAAAAAGTAATAAATATCACTGGTCATTAAAGCAAGATAAATTAAAACAATAGTTAGATTATATAGTACTCCAGCAAGAATGGCAATCATCAAGAAATCAAATAATAAATTTTGACAAGACTGCAATGAAAACAGAACTCTTCTAACAGGGCTAACAGGAATGTTAACTGGTACAGCCATTTTGGAAATAAGTATGGAGATTCCTCAAAAAACTACAAATAGAAATTTTAATCAACCCAGCTATTCCCTTACTATCTTCCCAAAAGAGTTAAAGACATATTACAGTGACACATGCAAAGCTATGCTTATAGCAGAACAATTCATGATAGCTAAATCTTGGAAGTAGTTTATGTGTTCATTAATAGACAAATGGATTTTTAAAATGTGATATTACTGCCAGGTGTGGTTGTGCACTCCTGTAATTCCAGCACTTGGGAGGTGAAGGCATGAGGATTGTTGCAAGTTCAAAACCGGCCTGGGCTACAAAGTGAGCCCAAGGCCAGCCTGAACTACATAGCAAGACCCTGTCACTAAAGACCAAAAAAAAAAAAAAAAAAAAGGTGATATTATACATTGTACATTGTGGAATACTACTCTGCTTTAAAGAAGAATAAATTTAAATGGATGCACCTTGAAAACATAATTGCTATGGTTTATGTCTAGATGCCTTCCAAAGCTTCATGAGCTCACAGGTGGGCCTTTTGGAAGGTGACTGGATTAGGGAGACATGATCCACATCAGTGGATTAATCCATTATCTCCTTTGATCCCTTCCATGGTGTGAGTAGTTTCTTTTCTGTTATACCCTTCTAGCAAGCTGCCTTGCCTTTGAGCAATGGACTATGGACTGAAACCTCCACAGATTGTGAGCGAAAATAAACTTGTCCTGTAAATTCAGGTGCCAAGTATCTCAAGTGTCTCAGTGATAAGAAAGAAACAGAGACAATAATATTAAGTGAAATATATCAGATACCCAACCTTAAATATCTTACGATTTCTCTAATATGAGCAATCCAAAGTATAGGTAAAGAGCAAAATAAAAGGTAGATGAAAGGAAACAGAAGTAAATCTTTTGCAAATGGAAAGAAGACCAAGAGATGAAAGGGAGAAAAAGAAAAGGAACTTAAAAAGAATATATTGTGCACATGTGCCAACTATCTACAATAAACACAATCTGTATGATTGTAAACATACAATAAAAAAGAGAAAAAAAAATTTTTTTATCAGTACTGGGGATTAAACTCACGACCATGTGCTTACAAGGCAGGCATTTATGCCGCTGAGCTAAATCCCCAGCCCCAAGAAAAATGTTTTAATTTTTAAATGAGGCAGTTTGCTGAGGAAATGCAACTTAGAACAAAGTCCTGGTTTTAGTCGTCACTAAATACATAAATAATATTCAAAAAGACAAATAGAGAAAAAATTTGGATTTGATGTCAAGTAAAAAAAATCAACTACTCGCTAGTCAACAAGAAAAGTAAAAATACAAAGAGATTTCAAACTTCACTAATAATTGAACAAAATACATTTTAAAAATGAGATCTATGTTATATATGAAACAAAACCAGTTTGATGACTTAGTGTGACAAAAACTGGGGTACATAAGCACTCTTAACACACTGTCGATGGATATGAAAATTACCACAACACTTTACCAAAGTAATTTACATAATCTATAACAATCAAAAATGTTGGCATTCTTTCATATGTAAAATTCCACTGTTAGGAATGTATTTTACATATCTACAGAACACTGTAAAATGTATGCATATGATCATTATATCAATGTAATGGAAAAAATCAACCTAAATATCCAACAAGATTAACAAAATACATGAAGTTTATCCACATAATTGTGTGCTGTGCAGTCACTGGAAAGACTGTATAAACTTTTAATAAGTGTTACATAAAATCACTAAGATGCATTATTAAATCTAAAAAGCAATATATGAACCCTGTATATTATATAATCCTTATTGCATAAATTGAAAAAGGGGAAGTATTCATATATTGATCTTCATACTAAATTTTTTGGAAACAAAAATAATGAGGACTTTTGAAGAAAGATATTGTTAATAAAGATAGAGGAATGCTTTTTGTTTTCTATCACCCTACACTTTTTAAATTTCAAATGTTGATGGTTATTAGTTTTATTTTTTAACATTAGCAAGGACAAACTAGATGATAGCCATTCTGATTTTCTCCTATTTACTTTTAGTATTTTTAAAATAAAGAGGTTGCAAAGGCCACTCAAAATATAGTAAAGAAGAATTAATTGAACTATTATTATTCTTATATTCATTTTCATGGTTGAATGTTTAATTCAACACTGACAATGGCTGCATAAAAATAAGGCAAATAATTAAATGTGGACACAAGTTTACTATGATCTTCTAAAGTTTTATGGATTTCAGGAATTTAATCATTATGTACACCAAACATATACTAATTTTTTTAAAAAGACTGAAACAGATTAACTGTCACAAATGCACACAATTATTATTTGCCCAAAATGAGCCACCACATTTTGGATAGCGTTAAAGAATTTGTTCCACAAAAAAAGTTTTTAACAACTAGAGCTGCTGCCCATTGAAAGAACAGCATAACATAACACCTCTATATGAACATGCATTCCAGTACTACACCAGTTCCCTTCTCTGTTTTTGTGCCTTCAAGGGTTAATTCAGGAATCCTGCCCCAGGAAAGCTATCCTTATCCTTTTCCTTTGTGCTTTAGAAGATAGCTACTAAAAGTTTAGTCCTTCAACCAAAAGCATTTGACATGACGTCAGTTGGGGTCTTGGTAGAAATGCAGGCCCTGAAACTCTTGTTTAAGAGCTACTTAGTGTGTTATTCTAATAAAACTCCAGGTGCTTTGTATTCACACAGTAAGAGTAGTGTACAAATGAGAGTACAAGGCATGCTTGCCACAGTAGGCATGTCGGCATGTGAACCAAGTCACTCCAGCAGGCAAGCATCAAATAACAGTTGTTTCTTCTAAACTAAAATTTCACTAATAGGTTTAATTGCAGTGTTGGCATGTTGTGATATATTAGTGGATTCTGGCTTCCAGTTTGGGCACATAGTCCCTAAAAGGTTCGCCAACACTGGTGTAAGGTGTTTCCACAGTTCCTTATGCACACCTGTATTAGAGCATTCATTAGGTTGTATTTACAAATGGTGGCATATCTACATGAGACAGGTTGTTAAAAGTAAATCTAAGATTTACTATTGTGGTTGTCATTCTATATCCATTACAAATAACCTAAAATGAATATTCCTTAAATGTCAGTGAGCAAATGAACAAGAATGAATGAAAAGCATGCAATTGAATTCATTTTTATAGTAATTTATAAAGTATATGGCAGCCTAGAAATATTAATTATAATTGACAGGTAATATTTTAAAAGATATTTTGAAAATCACTGTATTTAAATGTACTCATATCCTAGAAACATATTACAGAATATTTTATCCCCGCCAAACAGTACATAAGATCCAAAACTGTAGCTAAAGCTTCTGATCATACTTGTTTTTTCTCTTTAAATAGCCCTACACTGAAATTATCACACATTATCACTGGTTTGAGTATAAGCTAGCAGCTGAAAAGATACAAGTAAATTACTTTTAGATTTCTATTGTTTTGTTGATGACACACAAATTATGCTGCTCTTTATCTTTAGGACTGCAGCTGTTGCTGGCTCTGCATCTCTGTTTACTGTAATTACTGCCTTCAGATTTCATTCTGACCCATATCCCATTATAGGCTATGCCCAGGCCAGACGAGCAATTTCAAAAATCAACAGCAAATATAATTGTTTATGAAACTGTTGTACTGAAAATCTTGGTTTTTTCCTAGGAACATAAAAATCCTTTAATGAATTTTTACCCTTCAACCAAAATCCTCACCTGGCTGTTTCTCGCCATTCAGCATCCTCACCTTCACGCCAGCAAATCTCATCCAGTTCTGTGAAAAGGTCATGAGGAATGTGTTCCTCGTCATCGTCTTCGGTTCCAAGAATAAACTGTACCCGCTGTGATGGAGTGTCTATGAAAAATCAGACACACAACATGTAATATCATGATTTTAAAACCTAAAATATCCCAATCACTACCTTTACTGTACCCCAAATTTACATCTCCTTTATCCATACTGCCACCCTCATCCAGTGCAGACTTGAGAAGTAAAAGTAAATTTAACATAACATTAAGTGTAACATAATTTGAAATCATGGGGAGAAGAAACAAAATTGTCCATATTCACACATCTGTAAAAATCCCATTAAATGTACCAAGAAATCCTAGAAGTGAGTCTAACAAGATTATAGCATATCAGATAACACAAAATTAATCATACTGATACACATTAAAATTGAAAAATTAGAAACAATTACAATAGCTTCAAGAATAATCTGGATATAAATTTAACAAAATGTGGAAGATCTGTGCTCTGAAAACTATAGTAAAACCTAATGAAATAAATGATTTGAAATCAAAAAAGACCTATTTAAATGAAGATACTTACAATATCTTCATCTTTATAGATGCTCAGTTTCCATGGATTAGAAAAGCATAGTCAAGAGATTGTCCTCTCCAAATGGATCTACAGTAATGCCATTTCAGCTAAACTCCCAGAAAAATTTTTGTAGATAAGAACAAGTAATACTAAAATCCACACAGAGTAAAAGGAGTAGAATGGCTAAATGGTTTTAAAAAGAACAAAGTTGAAGGAACCCATCCATCTGATTTTAAGACTCACAGATGCTTCTTGAATTATGACATCTTCATAAACCCATTGTTATTGAAAATAGCCCAAAATGCACTTACTACATCTGTCTTACTGAACACCATAGTCTAACAATAGAGTAGAACACGGATTGTTTACCATTGTGTTCATGTGGTTGAGAGGGAGCTATGGCTTACTGCCATTGCCCAGCATGGGCAGGACGGAGGATCTTATTTCTGTTAGAAAAAAGTATCATACTGCAGATTGTTGCATTAGAAAAAAAACAAAATTCAAAATAGGGTTTCTGTATGGACAACTATTTTGAAAAGAACAAGAGACATTATAGTAGCCATTGTTGATTTTCCTATTGTCTGGTTTTGAAGACCTGTAATGCTTTCATTCTTTCATTTTAATCGGTATTATACTATTTTGTTTTGTTTGAATTCATTGTGTGTGAAGATATAGACAACTATTTCAAAGAAAACAAGAGACATTATGGTAGCCACTGTTGATTTCCCATTGTCTTGTTTTGAAATCCTGTGTTGCCTGCATTGTTTTGTTCTGATTTACTTAGTTCTGTTTTGTTCTCTTTAAAATAAAAAATAAGATTTCTATTGAATATGTATCACTGTTGCACAACTGTAAAATGAAGATTGTATGTCAAACCACAGTAAACTGGTAGCCCTCTATATTCCCCAGCCACAGTAATCAATCAAGTGTAGTTCTGGAACAGGGATAGACGATGCAAAGGGCTAAAGGTTTATGTTAAAATCATAATTTTCAATGTATTGACATAAAAGTTGCACTTTTGGGAGAAAAGTAACCCATGAGAATAGATCCTTAGAATTGTAAGAATAAGCCCCAGAAAACACTCTTTACTTTTCTATTGTGCAAAGGATAAAATGAGTTTTCAACCAAGAAGGCCATACAAGAACCCAGCATTGCTAGTATCTGATCTCACGTGTCCCAATTCCAAACTGTAAGAAATAAATTTCTGTGTTTTCTTTTTTCCTAAGTCTGTGGGACTTTGTTAGAGCAAAAAGAGTTGTATAAGAGACACCTCGATCAATTAAACAAGGAAGAGTATCCAGGAAAATAGCCCAAATACATAGGGGCAATCGATATTTTTGAAAAGATGTAAAGGCAATTTAATATAGGATACCATTTATCTGTGCCTTTTCTATGTGTCTTTTCAACAAATGGTGTCGAAAAATTGAACATCCACTTGCAAAGCAAGAGAACCTTGAACTAAAACGTTTTGATCTTTAAGCAAAGAGCTCTTAAATTTGATACAAACACCTAATTGATAAAAGCAAAATAAATAAAAACTTATCAAAATTTAACACATCCAGTGAAAGTCATTGTTAAAGATATATGAACAAGTTATAAAAGGGGGACACTTTTGCAAATTGTATGTTCAAGACATTCGTATATCTAGAATGTTTATAAACATTCTCAATACTAAACAGTAAAGCAAAGCAGCTCCATTAAAAATGGGTACAATATTTCCAGATATTTCAGCAGAGAAAAATATGAGTTGCAAATAAACACATGAAATGTTGTCAATGATTTATCATTAGTTCAATGAGGTAAAGTGTGAAAATTTACATCAAAGAGGGGTATACATATTTACCTTGCCAGTTTCATGGATGCTGGCAAAAGACATAAGATTCTTGGATGAGAAAAAAGATAGTTTATTACTCAGTAGCAGCAGCATCAATCAGAGTATCATGGTCTGTGCTGGATCATCAAGTCACTTCTAACACAGAAAGATGCACAAAAGGCAAGGAGATGTTGCACATATAATCAGAAGTGTTACAGGAGGGGCCACATTAGGAAATTCATGTGATTCATAATGAAGTCTCTCTGAATATTTCACAAGCTGAACTTGCATTTGCTCCTACTCTGACGCCTATAAACATCATTCAAAATATAGGCACATAGGTAGTCATTTGCCTCTGCTCATGGAATGTGCAATCCACATAGACCATTGTTCATGGCATGTGGAAATGTGTGGAGTGTTCTTTCCCAAAAATCATTATGATCACCATCAGAAAATTTATATTTATTTGAATTTAAAGCTTTTCATTGAAATTTAAATTTATTTGTAAATACTAACTACCTCCCTACTTCTAAAGAACCACAATTCTGTAATTCACTCTTGAGATTTAAACAAAAAAGAAAAATTCTTGAGAATTTTGTTATTATTATTTCCTCTTTCATTTATATTTGTTAAAGATTATATGATTGCTTATCTACAAGTGTTTTCTAAGTTGCAAGGTATGAGACCAAAATATAGAACTCATGTATTTCTATACAATAGCAAAAGTAATTTGAAATTTTGGTAACAAAAATTCCATTTATTTGAGAAACAAATAGGTATCAAGCAATAAGCCAAACAAAATCACATAATAGATTTGTGACAAAAATTATAAAACTTTATTGAATTACATAAAAGACCTAAATGATAAATATATATTACTGAGGAGATTCAATAATGGTAAAAATCTCACAAACTCAATGTTACTGTAGTAAATATCTGATATACTTTAAACATTTTTAAAACACAAGAGAATGAGTAAATGAATAACAAATATATTATGATTATTGAAATCTATATTATTAAACATTTATTTATGAAAATGAACCATACAATAAATTACTAATTAACTTATAAGATAATACCTTTACTTTATCCTAATATTTGGGGTTTCAGAGAGTAAAGGTGAAAATATGCATATAATTCTAATTAGTAATTATCATAACAATATAATTTACTTGTGCTTCTATATAATTGAATATTTGTGTTGAGACCACCTGCCTGCCTCATTATCCTCATCTTCTGTCTCTCTTTCCCTTGCTACTACATTCTGGGTCAATTATGATTCCTTAGGATTCTTAATAATATCATGTTCCTTCTCACTTCATGGGCTTTACATGTACAGTTTCTTCTTGCTCTTCTGTAGCTCTTACTGCTCTCTACTTAAATGTTACATACTTTGACACATCTACCTAATCATCCTTGCAAAATACATACAAATCTACATATAAGCACATTTATATGCTATTATGTGAGGCTCTTGCTATCTAATTTACATTTTCTTACATTTAAAATCTTATATTTATCTCACTTGTAATTACTTGTTATATTTACCTCCATCATAATTTAATAATTTATTGTTTAGTGATTGATTTAATGCTTATCTTCCCTGCTAAAATGTATGAAATACAAAAACAGAAATTAGGTATGCATTATTCACTGCTATAGCCTCAATACAGATCAACAGCTTAATAAATATTTACTTTTTAAAGAATGAAACCATTGTTCATATATTAATTATGGCCAAAATATATTTTTATATACTTGCAATTTCTTTGATTTTATTGCATTGACTAGTTGCATTGCTTCTGTTACAAAAATTTATCTGGGTAACATGCTTGTTTTTGTTTGGGCGTCAGTTTTTGTAGAAGTGGGGGGTCAAACCCAAGACCTTGTGCAGATGAGGCAAATCTTCTACAACTGAACTATATATACAAATCATTTGGTATTTTGTTTTTTATCTTTTTTACAGGATGAAAACTTGCTTATTATTTTCAAAGTTTTTCTAGAAGATGTGATTTCAATAACAGTCACAATTCTTACCTACTTAAGAAGTATCCAGAAGTTCAGAATAAATATAGTCAATATGACAACCAATTTTTATTATTAGACTGAATACAACATAGATATTTATATGTCTATAGTAAAATAATGATTCAAATGTTTGTGTTAATATTCAATATTAACTGTATGAGAAACATCATTAAATATACTGATGAAGAAAACCAAAAAAAGCAAGTTAGATAAGGGTAAGTGTTATTAAAATAAGGAGAAAAGTACCTTTAGCCTATCTCAATTTAACTGCTCTGGATTTGTTGTTATTTTGTTTTTATAATATTCATTGCTTGGGAGTATACATTTTCAGAGCTTTTAGCATACTTATGCCAATTTTTAAATGCATATTTTAAACACAGAAATATAGAAAACAAGCAAAATGTTCTCAATGTATTTTTACAACATGAATAAACATTCCCTTCATACTTCTCAAGTGGAATATAGCCAGTAAAAATAATATAAAAAACAAAGTGAAATAATTTATATGAATCAGTCATTGAGATGTTACAAGACTGCAGAACAATTTTACTATCTGATTAACCAAGAAGACCCTAGGCCTACAGAATTTGTTAAATGGTGGAAAGCAAAGAAGTTGCAATAAAACAAGGAAAGTGAGGCTTACTTCTTATTATTGGATCTACTGAGTAAACAAAGCAGTGTCTTTATA